ATAAGCTCGGATGACTGCCCAGCATGCGATACAATCCCATGACTTGCCACTAGGATGCGGATGTCCTGACGTAGCCCTCCTCAGAACCAACTATCCTTCTTTGCCTCAGTGTTGGCCAGATGTCTAGCAAAGGCGCTCATACGAGTGAAAGCTCTCGCGTACTCATCCACTTTCATGTTGCCCTGACGAAGGTCCCAATACTCCCCCTCCATGTGCTCACGATAGTGCTGAGGGTAGTATAGCTCTATAACGACCTCCTTCATACGGGTCCAGGTCAAAACAGTGCGCTCAACCATTGGCCTCAACTACCAGTATTCAGACTACCAATCGGCGGCATCGCCTTCGAGCTGGACCTTAGCATAGACAATTCGCTGCTCGTCGGAACACACCAGCACACTAAAGATCCACTCAAGCTTGCGGAACCATTCGGCCACTGTAGCTGGCCCCTCAGTTCCGGTGAAGACCGACGGCTGCATGGTACGGAACTTTGCCACCAGTTGAGCATGACTCTGACCTAGCACGAGTGGAGCCTGCTGAGAATACTGGCCAACACCTCTTCCTCTTCCTCGTACACTCATAACTAGAAATATGTAATTTGAAGGTTAGAACAAAACTCAACTCTTAACTAGAGTTCAAGTCTTACTAACAATGTGAAAAAATCCTAGGCCCCAAATCTAGAGTCAAAACATAAACATATGCATAAAATCCGAACTATCTCAAAATCCCATACCTCTGGTTGGCGCAGCACTATGAAGACGAGCGGTCACTTTCAAATATTTTTGAAAAGTTTTCAAAAGTTTTATAACTTTGAAAATTTTAGCAAGTCTACAAAACCATAGGCCTTGCTTTGATACCACAATGTAGTGCCCAGCTATTTTTCAAAGGAAAATACCAAGTTTTTCCAGAAAAAGTTGAATTTTCGAGAGTCATTTTTGGAATAAAAATAATTTTTCGGGCATTACTCAAAACAATTTTTTTTTTCCAAATCGCTTAACACATACCACATTACATTTCACAATTTGTGACATAATTAAAAGTACTTATTCAAAGGTCTCGAGAAAAGCAAAAAAAAAAATGTATTTTAGAAAGTTTTGGAAAGAAGGAATTTTCTGTTGTGCTGGAGAAACGTTTTAAAGTTGAAAAGTTTTGAAAAGTTCAATTTATTTCTAAAAAAGTAACATTTTCTAAAGATAAGTAAGCGGACGTCACATCTCTCTTCATGTTAGTATGAAAATGGAAGGTCTCCTGTTCTCCCTTTTTTGTCATATTAATTGGTGCTTGTTTTAATAAGTCTATATTAACTCAATTGCAGGAAAAGTTCAATCTTTTTTCGAAGTATTGTAATACTTATTGTGGGTATTTTTTTTTTCATATGGATATTCTTGGTCATAAGGTTGACTTTTTTTGTTTGCTTGGGTGATTGCTTTTTCATTGATATTTCACTGAAGCAACCTCGTTTGCTTCTAATTTAGGGAATTTCAGTTCTGGGTGGAATTGGTCTGTCTGATATAGAGTTGGAAATTTGGGAGCCATGAAAAATTAATAAAAATGTTCACAGACAAGATTGTTTTATTAATTAATTGGTCATAATCAAACAAGATTGTATCAATATAAAAATTAATATGTAAGTTAAATAGTTTATATTTATATTTTTATTTTTACTAATGATAAATTTTTTAAAAATGTGCTTTGCTCATTATATAACTTATGATTTTAAATATTATATAAATACACATATAACGTATAAAATTTTATTTGCATTTTTACATGTGCACATAATCGAATACTAGTAGTAGTGGAATTCAGTTAGACCATTATATTATTTTCGAACTTTAATATGTATATGGTAGTATACTCAGTTAGACCATTATATATATATGAATGTTTGATTATTTTTTTAATAGTAACTAAAAAAAATTTATTTACTATTCGAAAAATTAATTTAACAATTTATGGTATATTTCAAATAATCACTTATGGAAATTGCGGCTCATTATTTAAGGAAATAATTAAGCTATAAAAGTATCATTTTTAAGATACCTTAATTATTAAAATCGTGTGAATTTGGTTGATTTACCCAAATATGGGAAGTGTAGCTTCAATATCAATTATGTGATTTGCTAAAAATTTTCAACTAAATTTTGTAATTAATTATTTAACAAGTATTTTATATTTTTCGCGTAATTCTTTTTGAAATGCATTTTTAATATACCTTAATTACACAAATTTTGTAAATCCAACTAATTTATTCCATCTGCAAATAATTACAACATTTGTGGAGATATCGACAACAATAATCCATTATGCGATTTGCAAAAATCTGTTCTAAAAAAATTGTGCTAATGACACTTTTTATTCAAATACTATTTATTAAGTGTTATTCAAATTTTTGTTTTTAATTACTCAAATCGTAAATAATTAAGGAAATAATTAGACCATAAAAAATTATATTTTTAATATAACCTAATTGCGCAGAATGTGTAAATTCGGTTGATTTATTCAATTATAATTGTTTATAAAATTGTTCCAAAATAATTGTGGTAATGGTAGTTTCTATTTAATTATTTTTTAATAACTGCATTTTGGGTCTTTTTTTATTTTTATATATAAAAAACGTGGGTCTCAATTTTGTTTTGTACGCTGAGCAATTAATTTCGTGGGAATACTAAATATCATTTTGGTATTTTAACGATAAAGTATGAAATTGAATTATTTGGTATCTATATATTGATCCAGTATATAGTAAATATCTTAATATTTTTTTTCGTATTGCTAAGCATTTTACTCGATATTAATGAAAGTAAAATTTGGAAAATACTGCGGCCGATACTTTTGTCTAAATGTGTGTGAAACATATCAAACAGTTTTGTATATATATATATTTATGTAAATCGGCCAATCTATTTAAATTACACAATATCATTCACACAACTTAACAACCATACAAAAAAGACAATTAAGATACTCAATCGTACCATGACAATCAATCAACTCATACCATAATTGATCAAATATAATATTCCAATAGGACTTAGTAACATCCCAATTGATCAACAAATAATATTTCCAAATTGAATTTCGTCCAAATAAAAATGGTATACCGTATTTAAAATAAATGATAATTTAAAACAATTAACCAAAAATATAATTACCAAACAAAGCAAAATTTTTACAGCACAAAAATGATGTATTAATGAAAGTAAAATTTTTACATTACACAAATCGTGTACTAAAGAATTTGTACAATTTTTAAATTGATTTATTGCAGTTTTTATATGCTTCTCATATCAAATATTCTGGGTATTTAACTAAATTATACTTTGTTCTTCCCATATAAATTCAGTCATTTGCAGTCATCCTTCGTTTGATTTTGTTTTTAATATTCAAGTATCCGATTTTATCTTTTATTCAATTTAAGATGAGGTATGAATTTGGTTTGATAAAAAAACTTACTTGAACTAAGAAACTACTTATGAAGTTGTGAGCAATTCGAATAATTGAAAATAAATTTGCTACTGAAGATAAAAATTACTTAGAAATTATGTTTCGTGATGAGGAGGTGAGAATAAATAATTTATTTTGAATTCATTTTTTCATTTTTTTTTATTGAATTCGTTATTTCTTTTTTAATTATGTGTATTATTAAAATCATTATATACTTATTTATGTTTTCTAAATATTTATTATACAGAGGTCATATTGCTAAAACATAAGGGCTGCTCATATCAAGAAATAGATGAACAATGTGAAAGAGGGAGAAATTTATGGAATTCAAAAGTATCAAATGGAGGACAACTACGGGTCGTTCCGTGTAACAATTATACAATTTAAAATTGTGATCCACGATATGACCAACATGGTTAGGTTCAAAGGAGACTTTCACAATTTTTGGTGGTTTATGAGACTTTGCTACTCTCCTTATGTTCTTCGACAAGATCAAGCAGTGCTATTTGGTAATATATTAACCTATGTATTTAATTTTGTCGTATTTATTTTCTTCGGTATTGATAATTGAGAATGCTTTGAAAAATAATTAATTTACCATTTACTTGTAGATGTAATCGATCTGATTGTTAAAATCATTTGTCCCCAACACAAATGATTGTGTTTTCTCTCAATGATCGACAATAACAATTTTTATTTTATTTATTATATATTTTTTCTAAAAATCATTTTAGTAATTTATTTAAATGAACATTTAGAGGAACAAGATTGATTGCACACTATGGGGTGATTTCAATGATTGGCTTTTGGAAATTGAAAATGAATATGGCAATGATCGTCATCAACATTTGCTCATTATTCATCTTTGCCAAACAAAACCATGTGGAGGTATTTCCGTTAAATTAGTTTATAATAAATTTATGTTTTGTTAATTATAATATAAATATATTAAAAACTACATATTATAACATTCAACAAATACATTTATAATTTAACACGATGTTAAATTTTAACTTTTTAATTTATATTATAATTCTATTTGCAATATTTAATTTTATGTTTAACAAACATGTGTATATTTAAATATGTGTCAATATTTCATTTAATAACCAATTAGTTACTTCGAAGAATGTTACCAAGCTAATTGTTGGTCATGGTGTTCACGAGATTCACGATTTGATTAACAAGATTCATGATCAGTCTTTATCACATGTTAGCATGTATTTTAAGAAATCAGTGTTCAGTCACGACCAATTGTATGTGTCTGTTTTCCGTGTCACTAATAAAAATAGATCGAAAATATTGATTTACAGGGAGGATAATGTGCATACATGACAAAAAATATTGTCTACAAAGAAGACTTTTAATAATATATTAATTTTTCATTCTAATTATTTAATTATTTAATTTTTATTATTCATGAATATAATAATAAGACTTTAAATTGTCTGCACGGACTTTGCACTAGTTCAGACAGTACGTGACTGACTTGGGTATTGGTAGCCTGCCCCGCTTTTGACCGAGCATCCCTCCTTGGTTGAGAGTCGATGTAATTGAGATCCTAAAAAAAAAAAAAAATAAATAAAAAAAAGCAGCAATCCCGGGATCTTCCAATTTTGATTAGCACACAGGTGTGGCCTTTGGTAGCGGGGGCGAGTCGAACCCTTCGATCTCATTAAAAGATGCTTTCAGCCGCTGGTAATAATCAAACCGTTTTACTATGCGCTTTTGTTGTATAAGGGCAAGGAGGTCTTGGGTGAAATTTGATGATTTATATAGATATACTTTGGTGTTATTCTCATGCATAGGTTATCATGTGCCAACTGTTGTTTGGAGAGAAACATCAGTAAATTTGTTAGCCTAAGTGAAGTCAGGTAAAGGATTTCGGTTTATGAATTTGGGGTTGAAAATGTTATGCACTAGTTTCATATTCGTTATGCCACATAATCCCACACTAAGTTTTTGGAATGATTGTCTTTTATTAAATATTAAATAGTAGTAACTCCAATTTTTTCATTTGAATCTAGCACTTTCTTGAGATTCTTGGTAGGTACTCTTGGCTGACTGGGTAAATATACAATTTTTTACTTTCCAGTTATGAATTAGACAATGGATTAACTGAACCAACTAAGTGCGAAGTATGGCCTGATTCATATATTTACTAAGTGGTTGTTGCAGTTTATAAGTTCAGAATAAATTTCTGTATTCTTGATTTTCCTTTTCCTTTTTCTCTGTTTCAATTTAAACCTTGTTTGCCAATGCAATATCTCATATTTGTAGTTCTTAATCTAAATGCAAGAGAACAAAACCCAAACCAGTATGTCTTGTTGTAAAACACATCGTCATCTGAGTCAGTTATCAGTTTGTACCTTTGTTTTGAATCAAGTTTGTACCTTTGTCTTGAATCAAGTGGCACGAGCAAAGCAAACGCATAGTTAGCCGCTCTAGCTTCTATAGTTTGAAAAAGTAAGTATTTAAATTCTATGTAATAATATCCAGTAAATCTTACATTTTATAATCCGCTGGTCTCTGGCACATTATCGGGTATTAAGTTGTACCACACTACATACTTTTATACTTGCCTATAGTTTTCTCGGCTCATGAATTCAATGAACTAAGCTGTATACCTTATGCCTCAGGAACAGTTAAATGAATTTGCTGATAACATTACAAAATATTCATCCCTATTGTAAATGGCAACCGAAAGTCCTGTTGTGATATCGGGAAGCGCAGACAGATGGCAGGTCCTCAAGAACTCGCCAAGGTACAGGCCATCAACTTCCGAGATGGCCATTGAGGGCCTGGATTTTTTAACCTTAAAAGATCAAAGGTCACAGAGCTTCGTAAAGGATATGATGCCTAACCGAAGTGAAAGTGCACCCCCGAGCATGGAAGGTTCTTTGGCGGCAATGGAGAATATTGTTCCCCACCGGAAAATAAATTTCACCTTTTATCCTGGCTCTTCACCTCCAAGCATATCTGATGTTAATGGTGAAAATGCGAAGTTATCGAGGAACAAACTTCCTGCTCATGTGGAAGAGCCCGAGGATGATCAATCGTGTAATTACAGCTCTATTGTGCCTGTGGAGAAGTCAGGTTTCTCGGGTTATCACAGTCGTTCATTAGACTCAATGCAGGTGATTTTTTTTTTTTTTTTGGGTGAAGTGGAATGGACTGTAGAATAATATCAAATTTAAAGATTCTGGACTTCGTGATCAGCATTTTGCTTTTCCTTTTTCTCTCAGTTTACATTCAATTGAAGAAGGAAATGTTGCTTCGACATGCATTCGCTTTAATGTTAGTACTAAAGTACACTGTGACACCTTTGTTCGTTGGAGTATGTTATTCCGCTGACAACCCGGTCTGCCTCTTCAATTAGATGTATAATTCAAAGGAATATTCAACCTGACTTCTTGACGTTGTTGCTCAGTAGCATAGCAATTTTCTTTACTAACGGAGTCGATAAATTAATGTACTAATAATATTTCAGATACAAACATAATTTTATCTGCATATGGTTTTGATACCCCAAAAGAACACTATAATTGATGTCTTGTCTTGTTAAATTTATCTTTTTGTTTGAGGTATTTGGAATTCAATATTAGGTTAAACTTAAACGATAATATGGCCCCTTCAATTTATTCAGTGGGTTTAGCTTTATGTTTACTCAAAAGAAGTATGTTACACTCCGTATAAAGAAATTTTAAATTTTGTAAGGTGGCTAGGTCAGCTATTGCTTTTTGTCCGAGTTTAAGTTGTAATTATTTCAATACTGAACTAAAAAGCATCACATTGTAGGACACAAACCAGAGGACAAACCAGAGCCCCTCAACTGCAGGTGCTGGTCATGTAGATTCTGTTCATACCCAGCCTACAACGAGTGCCAATGCATGTAGTGATTCAAATTCAAACTCACAAAACCTTCATACCAAAGAGCAACTTGGCTGGAAAAATAATGAGCTGCACCAACGAGCTCCACCACAAGATATCAGTACTTCTCGAGTTCAAGCTTCTTCCTCTCAGATCATTTATCCAGCAATAACCCATGCGTACAGTAGCTTGAACCAGCTCCATCATATTCCTTCAAACACTTCAATGCCTTATTCGAATCCACACAGCCCACTTTACCATAATGTTCCGCAAGCTGGCTTCTTTGTGCTACAATATGGCTCTGGTGGATATAATTTGAACTCGACCGTTTTACCCTCGTATTTAGCCGGATATCCACACCAGGGCAGTGCTTTCCCTGTGGCATTCAATAGTGCACCTTTTTATGGTCGGGTTGGAGTTCCTTTACAGCTTCCATTTCATGTGCAGTACTTCCAACCTCCTTTACGAGATCCCTATGGCTCGTATAGTCATTTCTATCATGAAGCACCAAGAGATGGTGCGAATCAAATGGGCTCTTGTGACTCGAAAAAGGAATCTCAGCAGTTGTCTGGCTCGGGCTATAACAATCTGAATCTCAGAAGAGGGAATGTTTCTGGTCACTACTATGGAAGCCCGACTTCTGTTGGCCCTTTTGGTCAGTTTCCTGATGCATCTGTTGTTCATCCAGCCATGCAACCTCAAATGGCAGCAGTATCTAACACGAGTCTTTCTCACTTTTCTAGTGGTAACCCCAGTAGAATTAGTGGTCAAAGTCAGATCTGGAAAGATGCGAAATTGAATTATTTTCTTGAAGAGCTGAAATCTGGTAACTGCCAAAAATTGGAGCTTTCTGATATAGAAGGATATATTGTTGAATTCAGGTTAGATTTTTTCCCCTTGAGCTGACCTTATATTTTTAGTTCTACAAAAAACACGAATAATTGTTGATTAACATGTATTGTAATTTTTCAATTTCAGTGTTGATCAACATGGAAGTAGATTCATTCAGCAGAAGTTATTGATGTGCAGTCTTGAAGAGAAAGCATCCGTTTTCAAGGAAGTCGTCCCTCATGCTTCCAAACTAATAACCGATGTTTTTGGGAACTATGTTGTTCAGAAGGCATGGTTAAAATTTTTTTCCCTGCATCTTGTTTTTCTTTTTATATATCCTTACCATGGCTCATGTAATTGCATATTTTTTCTTTCTGGTGTTTGTTTTTCAGCTTTTTGAACACGGGAATTCAGAAGAAAGGATGAACCTTGCAGATCAACTGAGAGGTCAAATACTGCCTTTGAGTTTGCAGATGTATGGATGTCGTGTAATACAGAAGGTAAGTATCCTTACTCGAGTTTCTGCAGCTCTGTTAGACAAATAGAGCAGGGAATAGCCTATAAGGAGATGCTCACATCCTGGTGACTTCAAAGTTCATAGAAGAAAAAAATTGCAATAATTAAACTAACAAGGTTACAGTCTAATCAGCTTGCATTTGATCCATTTCAGTATAATTTTCAAGTGTTATTGGCATAATGATAGTATCCAGTTAGCTATTTTAAAATTTTAAATTTAATATATAATTTCACTTGGATAGATTTTAGTGAAGAAGTATTGGTATGAGTGGATTTTCCAGTGACACAGTCATGATCCGATTATATTGATGATATTTTTCTTTCATGCAATTATTGTCTGTTCCAAAGAATATTTGTTAGTTTTCAATTGATGTTATTTCTCCATTCAGTTACTATTTTGGCTCCATTCAATATTTCCTTTTGAGTTGGTCATATGATTTGGAAATAGTGGTTCTAATTGCTGTGTAAATCTCTGCTATAGGCTCTTGATGTTATTAATTTGGAGCAAAAGACAAGGCTTGTACAAGAGCTTGACGGACATGTATTGAGATGTGTTCGTGATCAAAATGGGAATCATGTTATACAGAAGTGTATCGAGAGTATTCCCCTAGAGAATATTCATTTCATGGTTTCTTCTTTTCGTGGGCAAGTTGCCTCACTCTCAATGCACCCTTATGGCTGCCGTGTTATACAGGTAACATTTTTGTTGCTTGTTCATCTTTTGNAGTAGAGGTTCCTGGAGCATTGTAGTGACAATGTACAAACAAAATTCATATTCAACGAGATTTTGGACTCAGTTTGCTCACTCGCTCAAGACCAATATGGCAATTATGTTACGCAGGTTAGTTTCTATTCTTTGTTTTCAAGTGTTCCTATTTCTTCTCGTTTCTATTTAAATGATGTAAATTACTATTATTGACTATGTCGATGTTTGTTTTCGTCGACGGGACCACCGAAGCAATTGTGTGTTAATTAGATCGCGATTAAGTGTTTTATGATGAGTTTTAGACTCAAATAACGAAAGCAAAATAAATTTAGTATGAATTAAACGATGAAAATAGGGTGCTAGCACCGACGATTTTATTCATAAGTTGGGTCTCTCCCATGCCTTTTTTTGTAAACGAGCCCTGCTTCTTTCAAAGGCAGGGGGACATCGAAAACAAGCGAGAGGTATTTGGAGAGCAGGGAAACTTAATGGAGGGAAACTTAATGATGGAGTGAACAATATTTTAGTGTAGTATATGTTGTAGTGAGAATTGCTTGATGTAGAAGCTGATCGAAACCACCGGACCCCTCTATTTATAGAAGTGGAGGCTTTAAAATACAATATATCTTGGATGCGTGGTAGCTTCGGAGAGGCTAGCCCCATGCATGGGGATACGTGTCTCGACAACTTGCAATCAACTTGTCCCAGTTTGGAAGTGACTTATCTTTTGGGCAGTGGGAACTGGTTTTGGGCGGCAAGCGTATGGCTGAGATCGACAAGGATGAGATGAACAAAAGGTGGAGGCCTTGTTTCTGGAAGATGTCAGCATAGTTATCTCGTAGCTTGTAACGAGGTCGGCATATATAGGAGAAGTCTCGAGGTCGGCGTCTATCATCTTGGCTGAAGTGCTTTTTGATATTGCTGTTTTGGGGATATAATTTATAGTGATTGCTTCGTGGCTGTCTTAGTGTGCTTAATTCTAGTCGACAAATTTTGAGTATCAACGTAAGGCCCCCCAAGTTCCCTGACGGGGTGCTACGGTTGGTCGTATGAAGCTACTTTTGAAGTCTCTTTGTTTGGGAGGAAGAAACTGTCTTATGAAGTCGGCGCTGGAATTATGACTGGGCTTTTTGAAAGTTCAACTCTGGATTATTTTATTAGGTAAAGAGGTTGTGTCTTTTAGAATTCTAAAAAGAGACGGTTTCCCTTGATGATGTGATCTGGCCTGCTGAATAATGCGTTCTTCCAATGGAGGTTCGCCACTGGTGGGATGTTTATCGTTTGGTGTGAGAAGAGTCACCTTTTCTTGAAATTTCTCGTCCTTTCATTTCGACTGGCGTGTGGATCAATGGTTTCTGATGGTATCTTTATAAGAGAAGGTGGATATCTCTTCTTTGGCAGAAGTTCTTTTTTTACAATCATTTCTTCTTCATCCTTGTTTTGTCTTTACAATCTTTTGGTTCCTTTAATTTGGGAGGGTTCCTTTAAGTAGTTTCATCGAAAGTTTTCTTGAGAGCGGAGATGCTTGGTGATTTGCAGAAAAAAGTTGTTAAGAGTAGGCAATCGATGGCCGCGACGCAAGGGATGGCAGCTATGGCGTCAGGAGCGACGGTGTCGGAGGTGATGTCATCAGAAGTAGATGTCCCGATCTTGATCAAAGAGATTGTTTTGTCGGTGCATACTGGTAGTCCTTAGGTCCGTACATGGTCACATACCTGGACCTGAGGGAATGAGAGGGCAAGTTGCCAAGTTCCTTCTTCAGGGAGGTCGGGGAACAATTGTCGCGAGAAAATCGGGCACTTGCTTCCAGAGTTGAAATGTCAGCTGATGCCTCCGAGGGTGATGAGAGTCGATTACTTCAAGTTGAAGCTTTGGAGTTTATAGCAGATCGTTTGCGGTCTTTAGCGAATGAGGCTGCAGAGTTGCGGTAATGGCATGGCTCGTCCCAAACAAAGATTGGGCGGCTGAGAGAGGTTGTGTCTTCACCGGGTGCTATTGGTCAGCGCTAGGCCCTAGAGCAGGCCATCACTGACATGATTGTGCTTCGGGATTCGACTGTAGTGCGGATGGAGTCTCGGTTAGCCGAACTGCACGATTTGCGCTGGCGAGGTGGATCTAATCTATGTTGAGGATCTTTGGAAGCTGAAGTCTGGATTTGTCAGGACGTCCCTTCTAGAGGGGGATAGTGAAAGTGCTGGATCGGATCCTTGCTGAGGTAGGTGAAGACGGTCAAATACGACACGTGGTATCTACAACCTTGGATATGGGGAAGGCCCTTGGCATGAAGTAGGCCCTGGTGAGGATCGAGGAGGGGCGTGAAGTCGCTTTTGATGAGAAGTTCTTTGCTCGGTAGACTGAGCGACTGCATTTGTGTTTTCTCAGCATGCTTTGCCTCATGAGGATTAGGTAGTTGCGAGGATGAGGTAGTTGCGCTTAAAGGGGTGACGATGGAGTTTGACCCATCAAGCCGATCTCATGGGGGCCTTTGGATCGCTTAATGTCGAGGTCTTCGAGCCGGATTCTCACTTGACGACGATGATGGGGGCCACTTAAGGGCGAGTTGCCCGGTCGCAATCCTGTGCTTAAGAATGTGTATGTGTCTAATGAGACGTGACCAGGAGTCGGAATAACTTACGTGCCTTTGTTGTTTTTAAGCTTCGGAGGAGGCAATTACAACGGCGAGGGTAGCAGGCATCTAAGACAGTCTTACGTGTGGTGGGGGATGTTTCTTTTGACTTATACACTTATTTCATGTCATCCTTGAGAAGTTTTCTATTTTTGAAGGAACATTCGTATGATTTTTATAAGTTTAGTACGATTATAGGTGTGAAAGTATGTGGAACTTCCTAGCGATTTGTCTAGATAGATACACGAGTTGTATGTAAAGTAGTTAAATCAGTTAAATCAATGTAATAGTTATGTTGACTGATTTTTATAAGATGTTTTAGATATGATGGTGAGAGTTAGGAATTTTCCAGTGAGGGGTCTCTTAGGCTATCTTCGTTGATTTGGCCTTCCTGTGGTCGAGCTTTTCAGGTCGGTAGCTGCTTCTCGTTTCGAGGAGTTCCTGCAAGCTTGTATAAACTCTCTCATATGTATGTATGTTTGAGGGAAAAAAATATATGTTACTCGAGATCCACCCAGGAATACATAGAGTTGGTGATTAGGAAGAGGCATGTATGGTTAGTGCATAAAAATGGTGAGTATAAAGAGTTGGTGATCAGAAGAAGGCATGCAAGGTTAGTGCCTGAAAGTGGTCAGTATAAGGCGACAACTGGAAAAATGGTAATCGACCATGTACCTATGGAGTGGTCGTTGTGCCGACATTTATTGTGAGGTTGATTGTAGATTTTTGTGTCTCTATACTCGGAGGAAGATTGGTCTCCATATACTACCCTTCCATATAATTGGGTCGAGGCCATCTACCTTTTGGATTTTTACATGGGGTATGGTTATGTCGCTCTTATTCCAATTTAGAGTTTGAGTCCGGTGCCGTCTCGCCGAGAAGGTTCCTGAGGTTTGTATGATAATCACATATTCTCGTGATCTTTGCATAGATTTCTCAACGTGTAAGTTGTACGTCTCGTAGAAATGGTTAGGCATGGATGAAAAATGCATATGTAAATGGTTTATAATTAAGGCATGTTGACAGTGTTATCCCCACCGATCTCGATCGGGGTCTTATGAGTCACGTGGTGATCCAATTTTGCTTCTTTATGAGATTGGATGGCTGTCCAGAAGAACAACATCGAAGTTGTTTTCAGATTAGGTGGAAGTACACTCCGCCCTTTTATGTGGCCTGGTTGGAACCTCCTGGTTTTTTAGTCTTTAGAGGGGTTGAGGTCATGCTGTCTCATGGGTACATGTGGGGGACGTTGAGTTTTGTGTGGTCCTCAACGCATTCCTGTAAACAATTTATAAATTTCTTCGACGCGCGAATCACACGTTATGTGAGAATGATTAAACATGAATTTGGTATGAATAGAAAGATGTGCAATGCAAAGAGTTATAATGGAGATGCCTTTGAATGGGCCTGTGGGTGATATGGGGCAGAAAAGTTTATCCGCTGACATTGCAAATAAGTTCCCTTTGGTTTGATGTGGAGAAAAATCAATGAGTTGCCCCAATGTTCGTGAGTTCTCCCGGTTTTCTTGCATTGGAGTCCCGACTTTGATTCTTGATTTCTGAAGCTACTTGTTTCAGTTGGTTCAAAGCTTTTTTAGGAGGAGAAAAGTTGTTATACCTTTTTTAATGGGTGTTTCTTTTAGAAGTTTTTTTAGGAATTTTAGATTTAATTGTTATACATTCTGATTTTTTAGGGTATTTGGGTGCATGTTGTTTTCAAGTTTTAGGGGGATCGGGCGAGATGCTGTATTTTCGCGATCTTTAGTTTGGGCGAGCATATTAGCGTTACTATCGGACTTCGAAAGGGTCCCACTATACGCCATATCAACGAGTGAGCTATGTACGCAGGAAAGGGTAGTTTGTCTTAGGGCTCTAGACATGTTCCACTATAAACAAAGGGCTCTAGACAGGTCCGACTACACATGGTAACAAAGCGTTAGAGCTTTGTACGTAGAGTGGATGGCGCCGTCTGTCCCAGAGTCAGGCTGTTCTCAATAAATTCAAAACTTTCGAAAGGATTTAAGGCTCGAGCCATTTTTGTGGCCAAGTTGAGGATTTTAAAGAGATCTGGAAATTGCCTTTTCTTAATTCTTAGGGTGAATTTTTAGGCGTTTTAGGTGGATCAGGCGAGATGCCATGTTTCCAAGAACTTTTAATTTCGGCGGGCAAATAAGCCTTACTGCGGTATGTTTGTAAGATAGTCGAGACTCCAGAAGGGTCCCACTATCCACCGTAACAATGCGTAAGCTTTGTACTAGGGATGTGCATCCTTACTTTTACTTGTATGAAGAGTGTTGGTGTTGTTGTCAGGCCATTCCCTTATGAGTTTGAGCTCTCGGAAGGGTTTAATCTCTAGCCGTTCTTGTAGGGTTTAATCTTGAGCCGTTTTTGTCGCCAAGTGGAGGATTTTAAGGTAATCGTGCTATTGTCATTTCCCAATTCTTAAGGTTTTTATGCGGATTAGGCGACATGCCGTGTTTCCGAGAATTTTTAATTTTGGTGGTGAGATTAAGCATTCATTGTACAACTGTATGATAGTCCAAGACTCGGGACAGATCCGACCGTACGACGTAACAATCCGTGCACAACTACAACATAACTTTCAATTACGGATCGATCAGTCTTTCCCAACAACGTTCTTATCGAGGATGAGCTAATAGATCCATACTCGTGTTAAAGATGAACTAATAGAGGGTTAAAAGAGGGTTTTGAGTTGTATATCAAGCATTATAAGGGGGTAAGAAATAGGGTCTTTTATAGGAGTGTGTATGTGAGTTTTTGTTTAAACGAGAGAAAGGGAAATTATATGGAGGATCAACCGAATCGATCTTAGATCTGGAGAGCATGAAGGGAGGAAAGGGGTGATATGGAGGGTCGGCTCGGCTTTGCCGCTTTCCATACGAGCAGAGTAACGAGATGAAAGAGTTGTATGAGGGGTTTCCCAAATTTCACCGTGAACTCTTGTTGGATTAAGATGAACGACGTGGCCTTGCTTTAACACCGACAAAGCCGGCCTTTCGTAACGAGATGAAAAGAACTGTATGAGATTATTAGTGGATTTAGATGCACGACGAGCCTTTCATCTAGCGCAATTTTGTCGATGTTTGTTTTCTCCAATGGTTCCACCGAAGCAATCGTATAACACGGCGTATAACACGGCGTGTGTATCTAGGGGTTATATGGGATTTCTCCGTTTTCTCCCCCGACCGAGATATCCTCTGTTTCGCCAAGAATGAGACATAAGAAATTCTTCCAATAATTCCTAGCCTAACTTCTTAGCAAGAATTATTGCAGTAGGATAATGCCCTCTTCCACTCTGTCCCCGAAGAATAACTAGGACCAATGTTGTCATGTTTTCGTTTTCCAATTGAACACTCGACTAAAACATTTACCGAGGAAGCGGAAGTAGAGGGGGAACAAAGACATGTAGAAATAGAAAGAGCAGACAATTGAAGATTCAAATAGAATAAAAAAACTGAAAATGAGGGGGTGATTGGATATGAATTCAACTAGTAAAAAATTAGTTTTTTTAAACTATAGTTAAGTTTGAAAAAGAAGGTGGTATGGTTAGTTGAGTGGATATATTAAAATAATATTTAAAATAAAATAATTAAAGTTGATTTTGATGTAAAAGAGAAAATGATTAGAATTGACGGTTAGTTAAAATATGTGAGTGGATGAATAGTGAATTAAAGTTGATGTGATATGTAAGAATGATTGGTTGATATTATTTAATTATATTGATAATATAAGAGATAGTGGAGCTGAGTTAAAGTTGAGTTAAGTTTGAGGTTTGATTAATTTTTTTACTGTACAATCTATCCAATCGCCCCCAAGTGGTTTATGATGAATTTTAGCGTGAAAATAACGAAAGTTTCAAAAGAAATTTAGTTTGTATTAACAATGAAAATAGGGTGCCTGCATCGGCGATTTTATTCATACGGCCTCTCCGAGTCCTCTTTT